AGATGGTATCTGTGGTGGCATTAGAATTAAGGAGGAGAGAGAAGAAAATAGTTTCTTATAGAAAAAACTATATGTACATAGGAAAGATATAAAAAAAACATATGTTAGGTGTAGATGATACAAAAGAGAATATTTACGTAAAAAAGGATGCATGAAAGAGAAGATAGTGCGGGTTGGCTAAAAAATATTTTGTAGAAACCATCCATTGAGAATATACTCGATTAGTCTAAAAAGTGCAATTCTAGATTTGAACCAAGTCAGCTTTCCAAGCTTGTCTAAATTTATAGAAAAATTATATCAACGCTTATGACTCTAAGTAAATAGATTTAGTATGAAATTATATGTTATGATCAAGTTCATAATACTTACTTTCTTTATTCCAAATTATAAGACATTTTATTTTTTTCTAGATACATAGTTTTTGCTATGCACTTAGATATACACACTATGTCTAGATATAGTAAAAGCATTGTATTTAACAGAAGTCAGAAAATTATAATTTGAAACGGAGGAGTGTTTGGTATCATGAATGTCAATATTTTTTATATAAATTTGGTCACATTTAAAATTATTTGACTACTTGAAAAATGTGAATTACACTCTTTTTAAGATGGATGGAGTAGTTTCCATGTATAGGGTCTACATGACATAAGTATGGAAATTAAATATTCCGTGCGACTGCGCATCAGATACATACAAAAATAGCGGCATGAGATAATTGGCTATAATTAAGTTACCACAACGTGAAACTTCACCAGATCGTCTATCTGAGGTCGTAAAACGAATTGAAAGTTCGGTCGATATCGGCTCTCATCCGTAGTGATTCTTCACCGCTGACTACAGCTGCATCACTCTCAAATCAAGCGGCCACAGGTCCAGCAGCCGCTGCAGAAGTACTGCCGAGCACCCTCGTTAATTTACGTGAGTGCCTGCAAAGAAACCTTGTCACATCACATATGCACACTAGCGTGCAGTTGTTTGCTTATTCCGACCATACAGCCTGTTCGGCTGGAGGAAAACGACAGTATACGATCGTAAATTTTCAGGTGAAACAGTATTTTTCTCTCACACAAACCAGCCATCGGTACTTCTTAAATTTCAAGGCGAAACAGTATTTTTCTTACACACAAACCAGCCAAGAAGAGACTTCTTCACGAACCAGCAACGATATAAACCAGCCAACTGAACAGGCTGATAAGAAATGGTCACTAGGCTCTAGGCTCTAGTCTAGGGCTAACTAGCCTAAGAGCTAAGGCTTTACAGTACTCTCTCACAGTCTCACTGATCACGCTACGATGGATTCATCCATGAATGCTCATAAGGAAAAGGAACCACATGATCATTGGATTTTGCTGTCGTCTCTCTTGCAGCTAGCTTTACAATGTTCTGTTGGTCGGGCCTGATCTGGTGGTTCGATCACGCTAATGCAGAAATAAAAAAAGTTATTGGGCTGCCACTGTCAGCTGGTAAAGAGTGCTAGCTGCAGCCTACAGCGCAGGAGGCTTGTCTTGGCAAAAGCATCTTGCTTGCCGTAGCCTAAAGTGTTTTATTCCAATCACTGATCACGATCCTTTCTGATCGCACATCAGCATATATATGCCATGCGATGTCTGTCTGTCCGTCTGTCTTGTTTCGGAATGTCGGAGAACACGTGCAAGGAGAACACATGCATGACAGCCAAATGTGCATTGGGCTTGATTTGATTTGTACTAGTATTGATTCAAGTTTTTGAGGATCTGTCTAGTTTTTTATAGGAATTTGGAATTCCATTAAGCAACCAGGTCGGTTAAATCGCTCGACACCGAGTACATAATACAATCTGGCACACCGGCCATCACCGAGGATATTTCCTCAACACACATACTCCCTAAAGAGGCTAGCTCATGCGCTACTCGATTACAATCTCTTGGGTACAAATTTCACTTGAGGAGATATGAAATTTTCAGCTAGCAGATCCTTCAGCTCATGCACCATTCCACCCACCAAAGACAATCTAAAATCATCCCCCAGCAGCGCTTCTACTACCTGCAAAGCATCAGTTTCAAGGATAATATCAGTACATCCCATGACCGCGGCTGTTTTCAGCCCCTCGACACAAGCCCGGAGCTCCATATGCAATGGATTGGAGGTGAAGCGCTGCGCTGTCGTCCATAACCAGACTGGAGAGGTCGACCACCATCGTCTCGTTTGACAAAACCCCATCCTCCATTTTTATCATATTCCCTAAAGGCTCCGTCCACGTTTATTTTCAGGGTTCCGCTTCTTGACCTCTGCCACTTCCGCAATGTACGTCCAGCTCCACCCGTCTGCTGCATGGGACTGTTCGGCGTCTGCATGAGACTGTGCATATTGCTTTCATCTCCTGAGTTTGTTTCCAGCACCAGCTTGCCAAAAGTGTTGCCTATCTCTGTTGCTCCCCTTCTCGGACTGCATTTTTTTTCATGCCACCGGTTGCACATTAAGAAGAGAGACTGCAGTTGAGCATCTCCCCTCGTAGCTAAAAGCAATTTGACCACCTCCATTGCATCATGGCACTCCATCAGCTGTAGCCGCATATGCTCCAGTCCTGCAAGTCTCCAGACTTCCTTCACTGCCTTGCACTTAAAAAATAAATGACCTCCATCTTCTCCAATTCGGTTGCAGACCAACTTTCATCCCTCGTCGTTCCAAATTAGATTTCGTGGCTAATGAATTATGAGCAAGCCTCCAAATAAAATGTTTCACCCGGTTTGGAACATCTAGCTTCCAGATACGCGCCCAAAATTTATCTTCGTCTCCTGAACCTGCACTGGTGGCTCCAGCTCCGGCCGAGCTGTTTACTTGAAGATCATCGCAAAACAGCCGATAAGCCGATTTTACTGAAAAAATTCCCTTGGAATCAAAATGCCACGCCAGGACGTCCTCCATATCAGTATGCACCGGTAAGGCTAAAATCACCGGCACGTCTTCAGGCCAAAACAGCTCCCCAGTTAACTCCTTATCCCACTGTCCCGTCGCCAGATGTATCAAGTCTGCAACTCTCGTCAGCAGGATATATGCCGCGCCATGGAGTGATCGGTCTGCGGGTGAACCCTCTAGGCAGCCACGGGTCCTCCCAGATTTTAATCTTCTCACCATTACCAACTCTCCATACTATACCTTTCTTCAGCAGTTCTAGCACCTTGAGAATGCTTCTCCATGTATATGACATCCCGTCCTTTGACTTAGCATGTAGAAGATCACTATTTCTATAATACTTCGCTTTGAGAATTTTAGCACATAAAGAGTCTGAAGACAACCAATGCATTTTCTTATCTTTCTCATTATGGCTCCACCAATATGTACACACCTGCCTGCTAATCTGATCACAGACTTCTTTGGTGATGTCAAAACACCCCATGGCATAATCCAAGTAAGTAAGTTTGACAATTTTCTCCTTTTCTAAAAGAAAGAAGGAAGAACTTGATCAGGCCCATGACTGTTGGGCCTGTTGCTTCGTGGACTTGGAGAGCATTGAGGAGGCCTTGGGTGGTGGTGGTGTGCTTTGCTTGCAACTGCAAGCAACGTCGTGTGGTCGTGGAGTGACGGATAACCGACTTTTTGCTGATGCCTTCAACTCAACTCAAACACTACTCCATTCACTCGCGTTAGATCTGCCAAGCGTGACAGAAATCTTTTCCCACGTCAGTCTGTTTATAAAGAAGAATTAAAGCACGTTGTCATCGGATCATCCGGTGCATCAACAGTCATCTAGGCAGCGTCCGAAAGGCACATGTCGTACGGCAACCCGACCGCTGCCGGAAGGCACATGTCGATCGTCATAGAGAACAGAGGCAGGTTCGTTACCAGAAAGCAATGAAGCACCTGCATGATGTGTGCACCTCCACACACGGACACACCACCCCTCAAATACAAAAGGACCTAAATACTTGTGGTGGAACTGTACATCTAAATTCAAGTTCTTGATTTAACATAGATATTCGCAATTTTATAGATTTATCTATTCTAAGATAAAGTTGCACTTTTTTTAGTGGTACGCAATTGGCTCATCGATGACGACGTCTATGGTGACTTCACTAATTCCGAATTCGGTAGCTTAGTTTCTCGATTGTACGGGTATACATGCGTATATTCATAGGGATGATTTTTCGCAGATTTATAAGTGTCCATGTTAAGCATGTTCGCTTGGTTGGTTTTTAGGCTAGTTGGACTGGCTTAACGGTTTTGTTGTGAGAGAGAAATCTTTGTTGGCTTTGGTTTGGTCAATTTTTGTTGAAACCAACAAACGAACAAGTTGATTGATTGAAAAAAAATCTTAGTCAAGAGTGTTCCAAGATTTGTTTTTTTTCCAAGATACAATGCTCAGAGGATATCGTGGTTCCAATATCGTTAATTAATAATATATTTTAAAAAAACATTTCTTGTATAATTGCATTCTTTAGCACGGGCCCTCGGATAAGGACCTGACAGGACTAGACTCACCGTGCCAACCAAAAACGCATGGAGGCGTCTACCTCACCGCAAAAGAAACACACTGAGACGTCAGGCGGCGGCTGAACGGACGTACGAGAGCCGGCCGGTGACATCACCACCAGCCACTACGCGGCCCCCTTCCGCCACTCAACCTGCCGGCGCAAGCTTGACGATGGCCGAACGGCCTGGAGTGCAGCCGGAAGCAAAAGCAAGCCATGGCCGAATTGCGCCGCAAAAACACCAGCCCGTTCGGCCGTTTCTCGTGCAAGCAACCGCAAGCTCCCCCGATTTGTTTATGGGCCGCCCGGGTTCCTGTAACTTGCAAGTCAAGTGCCGATCAGAAATGGCCCCGACACGTCGGCCACGTCGGCGAAGGCGAACTCGTCATGCACGCGTTCCCGTTCCCGCGGGCGCCTTTAAATCCCCCGCACGTTCCATCGGCGGCGGCAAAAGGCCATTGATCGCGCCATCGATTACATTTACATGCATGCGCCGTTACCGCCGGTCAACGAGTAGGCGAAGACGATCGATCTGGTGCGGAGGGGTCGATGGCGGCGGCGGCGGGGACGACGACACAGCGGCGTGGCGGCGACGACATGGAGTCTCAGCGGGAGCACGGCGACGATGGTAGTAGCCACCGTGAGCAGCAAGAGCAGCAGCAGCCTCTGCTGGAGAAGCGGCGGCGCTCCTTGGCCGCGAACGACGTCGACGGCGGGATGAGCCCGGTCCAGCGTGCCATCAGCCAGACGTACCAGAGCACGGCGCACCTGGCGAAGCTTCTGCCGACGGGCACGGTGCTGGCGTTCCAGCTGCTGTCCCCGGTGGTGACGGCGCAGGGCCACTGCGTGCGCGCCAACCGCGCCATGGCCGCCGCTCTCCTGGCGCTCTGCGCGCTCTCCTGCTTGGTGCTCAGCTTCACCGACAGCTTCCGGGACGCCGCCACGGGCGCCGTCCGCTACGGCTTCGCTACCACGCGGGGCTATGGGTCATCGACGGCGGCGCGCCGCTGGACGACCCCGCGCGCCGCGGCGGCGTACCGGATCCGGTTCCTCGACCTGGTGCACGCCGTGGTGTCCGTCAAGATCTTCGCCGCCGTCGCGCTGCTCGACCAGAACGTCGTCACCTGCTTCTACCCCGTGCCGTCGGAGGACGCCAGGCAGGTGCTCACCGTGCTGCCCATCGCCATCGGCGTCGTCGGGAGCATGCTGTTCGTCACCTTCCCGACCACCCGCCACGGCATCGGGTTTCCGCTCTCACAGCACTAACTTATTCGTAGAATGATCGATCGTCGCTACCTGTTTGAGACTTTGTATGTACTCCTATATCCATTTCCATTTCCAGTTGTAAATAAATTGCACAAAAAAGATTGTGAACTCCGTTGAATGAGAGATGAGTATAGCTAGATCAAGAGACCCCAGACATTTGCACGATGATTGTACTTCTGTTTACACCAAAATTTGGAAAGAAAACGCGAAAAACTCAAGCTTCTAGGACTGTGTCATCGAGGAATCGATTAGATGTGAATCGGTATCATCTCGATTTAGATGCGATGTTAGAATCGGCTATTTTATAGATGACGCAATGAGCAGACGAGGCGTCAATGGGCTATGCTTGAATGGCGTCAGGAAGATATGTCGGACTCTACAAATAAGAAAAATTAGGGTCCAATTTATCATTAAGTTAGGAAGTTTTCTTTTATTCAAGAAAGTAGGATTCATATTTGTTTTCTGGGTATAAATATTAGACCCTGGTTATTATACAAAAGATGAACACTCAATCAATATAATCTTTCCGGCTTTCGCCATCGCATTATGAGTAGGAGTACTGTAGATCTCGGCGAGTTCTTCAGCAAAAAGGGCTGCATCGACTGATCGACCTCTAACTTGCTTGTGAGTACCGTCACGACTTGTATTGTGATTGTAAAGCTGCATCAGCTGATTGATCTTTTATAAGCCATAATATAAGTTAGTTATCGATCTGTATCATAGTTTGTAAGGCTGCCCATCAGCTGATTGATCTCTTACGAATCATAATATAGATCAAAGTTATCAATCTTTTGTAAAATAACTTACTGTTTAATACAATATCACCAGTTATCGAATCTGCTAAGATTAGTAAGGTTTTTCTTGTTATTTTTTATTAATTCACTAGTTATCGATCTTGTTATAATTAATATTTTATTAATTATAATAAATCATCTGATTGAGATATGGATAGATCGGTATCATATCATCTTAATTGGTCGTCCTTTGATCTGGTCATGCTTTAAATCTTATAATTGATGGCTTAATTCCGCTAGATCGACTGTTTTATCTCTATCCCAATCAAACATGGTATGCATCTAAAGACATGTTTCAATTTTGAATAAACTCATTAGTTAATGAGATCTAATCTAATGATACTATCATAGCTGCATCGATCCGATCAAACCTCTTTGGTAAGACTTTAGAATAGAGATTATCGATTAGTGGTATTGTTCATGATCAAGATATGTACTATGTTTGTTTATTATGACCGTGCATCGGCTTATTTTAGCCGATTTGCCTATACTCTCACGCATATAGCAAGACCGGAAAGCCCACCCAGAGACGCCAAGTTAGTGTACAAGACTTCAAACGCACGCATAATGCCCGGCACCCATGTAGAGCTTTTTTTAAGCAAATGATGGGATGAAGGGCCCTAGTGTCGAGCCTTGAGCACGATCATGCCATGGCATCAAGCGAGAAGTGATGATGACACTGTCCTTTTATGAAACATGAGGAGGTTGAGATTTAGAGAGGAATGGAGTGAAGGAACTTTGGACCAAAGTTGTGGCAAATACAAGCGTCAAGCGTGCACATTCACGTAAATTAAAGCCCGAATGCAGCAGGACTCTAACCGAACGATGTAAACCGTGGATGGATACTAGATGTCTAGATGAGTAGATGTGCGTGTGCATCAGCTCCCTCTGTGTGTTGAATCTGAGACCATGCCATCCAAATCCATAGTTCTATATATTGTAGGCAAATACTTCTTTATGTCACTTTAGTAGTAGGTCCATATTTATGGGTATCAGTTTTCAGCTACTTATGAGTAGATTCCTAGTTGCCCTCCTTCCTCATATCTGATTCCACTATAGAAAATCTACCACCGCAGTTCACTCAAGTATCCTTATCATACAGTACGTTACTTCGGAACCGCCTCTATTTATATACAACGGTGTGACTTCATCCGTTAAACCGATCAAATCGGTCACAATGCATGGGCCTTGTTTGGTAACCACCTAAGGCCTTGTTTGGATGCATATGTATTCACCTCAATCCACATGTGTTGAAATGGATTGAAGTGGAACTTAAACTTATTTCCACTCCAATCCACCTCAACACATGTGGATTGATGTGTGAAAGGTACTTGTTGGTTTTGGTAATTGAGTAACAACCTAGGTGGACTAATTGTGTTTATGTGAGATACACATGTGATTAGTCCACAGGTACATGTGTATGAGCAACATATGCCATGGAGGTAAAAATGGCTTGGAGATGTTGCAAAGCTCACACATGTGATGATGAAGGAGCTTATTGCACATGAGACATGACATTGAGTCATGTGATCAAGGTGGAGAAGATCAAGACAAGACTTGGCTTGATGGATCGGTTGCAAGCGTGAAGGGCAAGTCAAAGGCTTTGGAGTGATGGACCACGTGGCGGTGAAGCTTGAGCAAGACTTGGCGCCGATGGACGACAGTAACGGTGAAGAGCAAGTAGAGTCAAGATCGATGAACCAATATGATCATGTGATGATATGAAGTGGATCATATCATTGTTGATCGTGTTGGTGCATGTGTTGCATCGACATTGAAGGAGATGGAATGGAATGCGCAAGGCAAAGGTATAACCTAGGGCATTTCATTTCACCGGTCATAGGTGTGTAGAGAAGTTTATGACCGGGTTTAGGATAGATGGCCGTATTTATCAAGAGGGCAAACTTGTTTGCATATCGGTCATCTAGTGCCACTCGAGTGATCTAACTTTGCATTGTCGCTAGGATCGAGTGGCGTGGCAAGTTGAGTGGCTAACATCCTTTGGGAAATGATTGTGAAAATGCTAACACACATACACATGGTGGTGTACACTTGGTGGTGTTGGCACATTTACAAAGGAGGTGGTGTTTGCACATTGGAGCAAGGGTGATGAAGTTAGAAGTGAAAACGAGTTAGTCGCGAAGATGCTGGCGTCGGTCAACTGACCGGACGCCGGATCTGAATGCACCGGATATTTGGCAAAGCTGCGTCCGGTCAGCCGACGTCACGATGACGCAGGTGGAGTGTGACCGGACGCCGACCGCCGCGTCCGATCATGTGTGACGGACGCGTCCGGCCGAGGTCGGTACTCTCTGGAAACGACCGGACGCCGGGGTTTCGGTCCGGTCGCTTGAAAGTTGCGTCCGGTCAAGTCAAGTGACCGTTGGAACCGGGACACGTGGCGTCTGCGGGCGACCGGACGCCGAGGTCCGGCGTCCGGTCAACACGACCGGAAGCGTCCGGTCGGCCCGACCGTTGCCCGATGAAGGGGTAACGGCTAGTTTAGCCCTTAGGGCTATAAATAGAAGTGGCCCTCGGCCATGGTCAGTCTTGAGCACCTCAAGGGACTTAGTGTCCATACTTGTGAGTGCTTGGGAGCCCTCCATCACACACATACTTGATAGCGATCATCCGATTGTGTGAGTGAGCGATTCTAGTGCGATTGCATCGTGAGGTTGCATCGAGTGGCACTAGGTGATCGAGTTCTTGAGCCGGTGGTGCTTGTTACTCTTGGAGGTTGCCACCTCCTAGGACGGCTTGGTGGTGGTCTCCGTCGGGCGCGCGCAAGAAGCTTTCAGCGGCGCTCAGGAGAAGTGCTTGTGAGGGGTACTTGTGCTGCGCCTTGGCCGGAGCCGCCAAGAGCAACTCTAGTAAAGCGTGTCATTGAGCTACCCTCACTCAAGGGGTAGGTTCTTGCGGCGCCCGACATGCGGGCTTAGCGGGTGATGCTAATTAGTCAGCCGAACCACCAAGTGAGCGGTCGACACAACGGGGACTAGCGTGTTGGCAAACACGTGAACTTCAGGAGAAAAATCATCGTGTCAACCTTGTTCTTCCCGTTGGTTTGCATCCCCATTACACAAGCTTGCAATTACTTATATATATATCTTAAGCTTGTGTAGTTGCTCTTGTAATTAGATAGCTTGTGTAGCTAGCTAATTACCTTCTTGCTTGTGTAGCATAGAAGTAGCTCTCTTCATGTGGCTAATTTGGTTTTAGTAACCTTGTTAGTCACATTGCTTAGTTTGTGTAGCTAAGTATTTGCGCTCTCTAATTAGGCGTTGGTTGCCTTGTTATTGAGCATTGCTAGTGAGCTTAGTTAGCTTTGTGCTTTAGCTTACTAGCATGTGTAGGAGCTCCTTGTTACTTAAAGTACTAGTGGCATAGGTTTGTGTGACCTTGCTCCTAGAATTATTTAGGAGAGCTCTAGCTAGCCCGGCACCTTAGTTGCTTTATTAGTATCTTTGCAAGGTGCTAGTGAACATATATAGAGGGGTGTAGTCTTGGCTAGACCGATTGTTTTAATTCCGCATTTATATCGGTTAGCCGACGCGATTAATTTTAGAAAAGACTATTCACCCCCCCTCTAGTCCGCCATCTCGACCTTACAATGTGGATAGGTGTGCATCCAAACAAGACCTAAATCGTAGAAGCTAGGTTTAAAAACCTAGATTGTTATAATCTGGATTATAAAGGTTGGATGGAAAAGGTTGTTTGGTTCATAGCCGGTAAAAGCTAAGGTAAGCTATTGTACAGGGTTAGATTACCAAAATACCATTATTCTTTGTTTTATGCTGGTGTAGTCACAATAGGAAGGCGTATAATTTTCTTTTAATGTCCAGAAGTTGCAAGAAGCTAGGTTAGACCAGCTTCCAAGATTATAGAATATGTAGCTCTCTAGATTTATAAGCTGAGTGAAAGTTTGTGACTGTTTAGAGCTCCTAAGAGATTCTAGAAGCTAGCTTCTACACTCCACTATAATTCAAACAGGCCCATAGATCCATATACCCTGAATCCATAGGTGGGACCCACATGAATAAAAAACATGGTCCCTCACCCACCTTCTTTCTCCCACACTCATCTCCTCCCTTGGTCCCTCTCTCATCCCACCTTTCTTTTCCCGCCGCTCATACCCTCCTGCCCCCTCTGCCTCCTCCCCCTCCAAGGTTCCACGTCCTCCTCCCGCCTCGCCAGCAGGGATGTGCT